GATTTTTGTCTTCAGAACGCCTGACAAAGCATTACTCACTGCTGGCTTTCTGCATGCACCTAAGCCTTCTCTGACAGATGTGCCTTCTGCAGGCAATCTTTTGCCCTGTGCTTTTCCTAAGTACCAGCAATCCTTGCAGCAGTTGCCTAGAAAGAAGACCTTAAAATACATTGCCTGCTTTCAAAAACCCTTTTCTTAATGGCCCCTTATGCTTTGCAATCAGGATTCTCTGAATTCAGACCCTCGGAGGCCCTGAGTTGTATTTAGTTTGCAGTCTCCACATAGCAGGGATGTTGCAACTGGCACAGCTGCACCAGAAATCACACGAGGGCATGGGGGATGTATTTTAAAAGCACAGAATTGAAACAGCTGTATATACACCCTGCTGCCCTTCAAAGCTAATGTAGGAAATTGCAAAAGATGCCCTTTTTGGAATGCAGGAGGTTTTTAATGACTCATTTTTAATGACTTTTTAATGCATAAAAAAATATATGCACAACTATTTGTTTATTTGAACTGTTCGATTCAAATAATAGAGAAACCTGTAGTAGGAAAGCCTGGAAACAAGCTCATAGGTGAGGCTGCAAGGTTGAGCTGTAGGGCACTGCTCCTTGGGAGGATGCAGAAGCTGGGCTTGTCTGGAGAGCTAGCAATAAAATACACACATTAAAATACAGCCGCACACTTACAACGCGCAGGTCTTGCTCGGCAAACAGAGCTCACAGCCTGGTTCTCACCCAGGGCTGAGGAGCCCGATGGAGCGGCAGGGCAGTGGGAGCACTCGGCCAGGCCATCTGCCCCTCCGTCTGCTCACACCGTGCTGTCCCTGCTGCCCCTGCCCTCCCGCAGGCCCATTGGCTTCCCACCGCTGCCTCCCTAGAAATGCCGCCAGCTAAATCTCCCTCAGGAGTTTTGTATCAAAATAGCTCCCTGCCTTCAGCTTTCCTGGTCGGCCATTGCCTCCATGGAGGGGAGAGCAGCCTCGGGAGGAGGCTGGTGTGCCTCCTCGGTAGGTGTGGTTTTGTTTTACAGGGCACTAAAAGTATTAATGACAGCAGTCTATATGTAATGTACATTGAAATGTATCTGGTGGTTTTAATCTACTGTGGCATGGGCCCAGTGCTCGCCTGCAAGGGAACAGGCTTTGTTTTTGGGCCAGGAATGCAATCCCAGGAGGTTAGGATGGAACACAGATGCCCTTTTGCCAAAACATCCCCTTCTGCCCATTCGCTGCTTGACAGGGAGCAGGGTTCAGCTGTGGGTGGCAGACATCACCTACAGGGCGTTTTGCAGTTGATGCTGTAAAAGGGACCAGCCCTACACTGTCAGCCTGTGCACTGGGTCTGAGCAATTTGGGGCCGAAAAAACTCCTGGAGCCAGGGAGAGTTGCTGAGTTCCTGGGAACAAGGTTGACCGTTTGTCAAGTCAATTAGAGAAGCTTAGTACTAGTGTATTTGTGTCTTTGTCATGGGCCAGGTTTGTCTTCAGGCTTACAACCAAAAACTCCACCACCATTTCCAAGGAGACTAAAACACTCATTACAGTCTGATGCCAGAGGCGCCAAGGTCAATGAAGATGGTGCTACTAAGCATCATCCTGAACCCCCACACACACTTGTACTCCCAGCGCACACACAAGAAAGCAGAAATGTGGTCTGGGTGGCACAAAAGAGCAGACCACAATCCTGCCTCCACCACCCTGGAGGAGAGAGCAGACAGAAACACTGTCCCCAGGCACCCCAAGACTTGAGTGTCCATTGTAATTTCCAAGCTCCTGCAATGACACAGGTAACTGATGCTGGCAGATACAGGTATGTGATCTCTATCAGACGTTATGCTGAGAATGTGACTATGGAAAGGGTTTTCTCACAGGACCACTCACATCCAAATCAGGGGGGCCTGTGAGATCTTTATTTGTGCTGCAAAAGCTGGCTGGCAAACATGAGCAAGTGTGAGCCTTAAGCGTTGATGTGCTAATAAGGAGGAGGACCAAAGCCTCCCAGATAGCACCGAGCAAGCAGAGGGAGAGGGGAAGGAGCTGGACTGGAGATAGGGCAGAACCATCTCTTGGAGAGGACAGCCTGATTCTCACTGGGCAAATCCTGACTGTCCTGTAGTGCAGGCAAGTGACTCCAGGACTAAACCCCCTGTTCCAGGTGGGGAGAGGGGATCATAGTGAGTAACAACACGATTTTCAGAATTGCCCGAGTCTCACCAGCTTTGCCGGTGCAGAAGCAACCCTGTGGCACTCAAATAGGGTTGCTTAAAGACCAACCATTGCCACATTAAATAGCCCAGTCCCTAATTCAACATCCTCAGCCCTGCTTCCCCACCTCCCTTTCCCCCTCTTTCAGCTCGACAAGTGACTATCACCCTGCCTCTGGGCTCCCCGCTCCCCACCACATTTCTTCCTAAAGGATCGCTGGAGGCTGCCACCATTTTCCTTTTGCTGGTTTCCCGCTGAACCATTTCTCCTGCATGTTTGATGGCCCAAACTATTAACTGTAATTTTGTATGAAGAGTGACTGTCCATGGGTTTAATAGAGCATTAGTTACTGTAATAATTTATTGGCTGTCTGTAATGTATTTATTAGTTACAAAACCTTAATAAAGTGCCAGCTCTTTTCTAGTGTGAGGGTGGCTTTATTGTGTGTCCCTTGAGTGTGTCCAGCTTCTTGAGCCAGTTATTTACCCTTCGTCTGCTCCATGCACGTACACACACATCGGTTGTCTGCCACAGCCTCATACACCTGGAAATCAAGAATTTGAAAGTTGTATGACCAAAAGCTATTAAATTTTATGTAAGTATTTGGTGGAATTTTCTTTCCCCTTTGTTTGTAAGTAGAACAACTTCACCGTGGTTTGTCTTTGTTCCTTGGCTTCTTGAGATCACCCTTCCCCTCCTGCAGTCCCTTGCCCCGTCCACAATTTTCCGTTATTTGGGTCATGAAATAGAAACAACTGGAAGAAACTGAGAGAGAAATTCCCATAAACCTCAGCAGAGAAAAATTAACCATGATTCCTGTTGGCTTCGCCGATTTCCAGGGATGTAACTTCAGCTGGACACATCCTCTAGCATGTATTCCCACACACCCCATCCTGCAGATCTGAATTAAAAGGCCAGCCCTGAGAAAAAGTGATGGCCAAGAGGAAAAGGATTGCTCTTTGCTTATCCATATAGGGGTATGTTATAGATTGCCTCCAGGATGCTAGCCTGCCCCAACCTTCTACACTGGAAACGTCCTGTTAGTTCATCAGGGTTATTTTCCCTGCACTGGGTACATGCTTTACTTCAGCTGCTCCTCCAACACTGTTGGTTCCTTATTTAAACATAATACATATATGGGACAACATGGGATGAACAAGGCAAAAAAAACAAACCCCAGGATCCTTCCCATGAAAGTCTCAAGACCCAGCATTTTTGGAACAGCCACAGGTCAAGACAACCCATGTTGTTCTGTGGCAGCTTGTTTTCTCCATGAACAAGGCTTTTTGTTCCTTTGTTTTTAAAAGATAAGAGTAAAGCAAAGTCCTGAAGCTTTTAAAAGTGCAGTGAGGGATGCCATCCCTTGCTGCTCTTTGTCAAGGAACCACGGGTGTAATCTCAAAGCCTTTCAAGATGAAATCAGACATCTGCTAAATTTTGCATGCGAAAGCTACAGTTGAAGTGTAGCTAATAGAATGACTCACGAATAAAACATTTATGGAGAATGCCTAGATGTGTAATTGGGTCATCATTTCGTTAGGAAACACGTGTGTCCTCCCGAATCTTCGGCAAATCCAAAGCCCCACCACCACCATCCTTGGTGCACCTCTAAAAAGTGGCTCGCTCTGGGCGGCATTTGCTGCAGGTGGGTTTCCCACTGGCTGCTGAGCACCCTCCTTGCCCTCTGCTCCATGCAAGGGTTTTCCTGATAAACCCCCATGTGAGCAGCTGGCCACTGAGCCGGGACCCCAGGAGGGGGCTGGGGAGAGGGGCACAGTGGGTCCAGCATCTTCAGACTGCACTAAGTCCTGGTTCTGCACCAGAAGCTTTGCTCATTCAAATAGTGATCTAGGTGGGTACACGCAGCAGGAGCAGCACACAGACTGCCTGAAATGGCTCCTGACGTTCTCCCTGGAGCACAAGGGCATGGCTTTCCTGTTTGTTCAGGTTAATGAGGGAGAAAGCTTGAGACCCTGGAGAGCTGTACCTGTCATGTCCAGCAGCACCTGCAAACAGCAGTGGGTGCATGTGCCTGCAGAGGGCCCCTGCAGCAGCTTGAGTGAAGCATGGAAGTAGTTGATTGGGCTCTGCAACAGCTGATTCAACACAGGACAACCTCTCCTTCCACTCCTGTCCTGTCTTCTCCACCCCTCTCTGGTGACAACTTCTGTAGCAAGAGCAGAAATGGGTTTAAATGGTTTTTGTCCACATGTGAAAGGACAATTTTAAAATGATGGGTTTTAGATATTTCCCTCTATTTGTGCTCCTACAAAACTCTTCCATGCCAAGGGCAAACCCTCGGCACCAGTCTGACCACATGGCACTGCCTGGCACAAGTTCCCTTCCAGGCAGGTCCGTAGGATCACCCCAGGTGGCAAGAACTCCCACCATCAGAGTCCCCATCCTGGCTGTCCATCTTTGCTTTAGGCTCTGCAAGCAGTGCTTCAGGGGTGCCCAGCCCCTGCAGAGACACAGACCTCTTCCACACTTCTCCAGTGTGGCCTGTGATGAGCTAATGACTTTTTCTGCTCTTCCTTGAAGCTTCAGGTGTCAGCGCTGCTGGAGCAGCCCCACAGGGATCTGCCCCAGCCTCCGCAGCGCCTTGTCCTTCAGCCCAGAGGAGCAGTGCTTCATTTCCGCCACCTTTGTAACTATCTCACAATTACCACTGTCTTATTCAGAGATTCTTTTTTGCTTTCTAACCCTTTCAATTCAGAAAGATGTTCTCCTCTCCTCTAACTCTTTCTCTTTGCCTTTCTGTCTCCCCTCTCCTCCCTCCGTGCTCCCCATTGCAGAACCGCATGCACGAATCTCTCATGCTCTTCGACTCCATCTGTAACAACAAATTCTTCATCGACACCTCCATCATTCTCTTCCTCAACAAGAAAGACCTATTTGCTGAAAAGATCAAGAAATCACCTCTGACCATCTGCTTCCCTGAATACACAGGTACGTACTGGGGCTGGTGCAGCCCAGCATGACCCCACCACCACACCGCGGGGGATGGGGGCTGCAACTCAACCCAGAGGGGGCAGAGGGAACAGGGCACCATTGGGGGGGGGGGGGGGGCCAAAAGCACTGCCCACCTTCGAGAGCTGCAGTGGGGCTCAGGGACACCACGAATGAGGTGGGGTTGTGTTCTGCATGAAGTCAGTTCTTGTGGCATAGGTGCACGGTCAAGAGGTGATGGTGATGGTCAAGGTGAGCTTTAAGGAACCTGGCCACAGGGAGCTATGGGAAGATGAAGCCTGCCAGGAGCTGACTGCCCACCACTTGAGCCATGGTGTTTGATGGTTCCTGAGAAGTTCCTGCTAGAGGAGCCAAGGCAAATGGTCCTCCAGGCTGCATCCTCCTAGAGTGCCTTTGTGCAGGGCACAGCTGGGGGAGGAAAGGGCCTTTTTACAGAAGTCTGAAACCACAACAGACTCACACATTTTTGAGCAGAACTGTCTTGTCTTGGGGAAAAGAATTCTGCATTCTGCAAGGAGAAGGAACGTGAGAAGAAACTTCTTCTCAGTGAGGGTGACGGAACACTGGAACAGGCTGCCCAGGGAGGTTGTGGAATCTCCTTCTCTGGAGACATTCAAAACCCGCCTGGACACGTTCCTGTGTAACCTTATCTAGGTGTTCCTGCTCCGGCAGGGGGATTGGACTGGATGATCTTTTGAGGTCGCTTCCAATCTCTAACATACTGTGATACTGTGACACTGTGACACTGTGAATCAGCTCAGATTCAGAGGCTCCAGCACCCCCTGCAGATACCAAGATGTCTCTGAACTACTGTCACTCAGAGCACACCCTCTGCCTGGACACAATACCCTGGGGACAGGGGGTCCGCAGCAAGGCAGCCCCCATTGCCCTACAGCAGAAGTGCATCAGCGTTTCCACTGGAGGTTCTGTGCCTTCTCCATCATGGAAGCAGCAGTGCTTTTTACCCAGCCACCCAGCAGCACATCCCGAACTATCCCACGTGAAGCTGTACGGCACAGCCTGGCTACCCCGGTGGCACCAGGCCACCTCCCCCTGTCCTTCGGGAAGGAGGTGAAGTGGTGAGCTGGAAAAGTAAAACAAATCCCCATATAAGAGCAGCTCTTCCAAAGGTGGATCTATTCCAGGGATGTCATTCGGGCTTTGCAGCTTCCTGTGAGGAGCTGGGTGCTGCCCGAAGCAGCTTAATACAGTAATGCCCATTTTCCAGCTCCAGCATCTGCCCCGTTTCAGCCCTACAGAAACGGGCAACAACAGCACATCCCCCAGTAGCTCCTCCCACACCAACCCCCATCGCCCATTCCAATATGGGGGTGAGCCCCACTAAGGGTGCCCAGCCACCACCCATGGTTGGTATTGGAGTGGTCACCAGCCCTCTCTCTGCCTGATGCACTCCTCACGCTCCACTGGGATGCATGGTGGGGACTCACCAGTGATGTCAGGGCAGCAGCAATGCCCGAGGAGCATCCTTGTGGAATGGCCCATCCAGGCACTGCTGGGAGCTGCTGCCTTTCCCCAGGGACTAAAAAGGGAGCAGGCAGAGAGGGCAAAGCAGCCACAGCTGGGGAGGGGGGGAAGTCCCAGTGGAGCCCAGGTGCTCTGTGGTTTGGGGGAAAATGGAGCTGGATGGGGTGGAAAAGGGTAGCTGGGAAGGGGTGAAGAGAGAGATGGGGCAGGAAAAGGGGTAAATGAGCCACGCCGGGGGGGTGAGGAAATGACCATAAAGAGGGGTTGCCTGTTTTTGTTGGCAATAAAGCACTTTGCAAGCAGCGAGGGGCAGGGTCCGTGGCCAGAGAGTGGTGATCCTGGCCCTGACCCCCCTGCCCTGTCCTCCCCCCTCTGCCTGCAGGTCCCAACACCTACGAGGACGCGGCCGCCTACATCCAAGCACAGTTCGAAAGCAAAAACCGCTCCCCCAACAAGGAGATTTACTGCCACATGACGTGCGCCACAGACACGAACAACATCCAGGTGGTATTTGACGCCGTCACCGACATCATCATTGCCAACAACCTGCGGGGCTGCGGCTTGTACTGACACCCCCCCCCCAGCGCAAAGCGACTTGTGGGGTGGTGGCGGCCCCAGTGCCAGGAGAGGAAAAAAACATGAAAATAAAGGTTAATAATAATAATGATAATAACAAGAAACCCAACGCAACCACACATAGACACACACAGACACACGCACACGCGGGAAAAACAAGCGAAACAAAGCAAAAACAAAACAAATTGAATGAGAGAAAAACAAACCATGATCGTGTGAGTTCGTAAATAAAAAGGCATAAGGAAATATTATATATATACGTATATAGAGATACCAAACCCACACCCGCCTCCTTCATTGGTCTGAGAGCCCCGTGCCCCTGACTGCCTCCCAGGGGCAGCCCTGGGGCTGGGGCGGTCTGCCTGGCCCCATTCCCAGAGCCGTGGGGCAGAGAGGCTGCGCTGGGATCACCCCATGGCAAAGCGGGGTTGCGCCAGGCTTCTGTGCAGGGGGGGCCTTCTCCTCCCAGCCCCCATTTGACCGTGCAGGTTTACTTTTTGATTGCTGTTATTATTATTGTAATTACTTCTTGTGGGTCGGCTCTTTTTATTTCATTATTATGACTAATTATGCCTCTTCCCAGCGCAGGGCTGCTCCCACCTGCCCCCAGCCCCACGGCACCACCGGCCTCCAGAACCCAAAACTTTCTTTTTTGTCTTTAAAACGGGGATATCCTAAAACCTGCCCCCGGCCGAGTGTTGAAGGGAAGCACCAACAGCAGCGAGGCCTGTTCCTGCTCCTCCCATCCTGGAGGAGCTTCAGGAGGGAGGCTTCAGGGAGAGCATCCTCCAGCTGCTCCCTCCCTGGGGTTCGGGGTTTTAGGGCAGATGTTTTGGACTCCTCACCCCCCACTGCAGGGCTCAGCCAGCGCCAGCCGGGGCCCACGAGGGTTTCCTCCCGTTTTCCCTCCCTCCTGCTTTAACACCTCCCTGCTGGCTCTGCAGGTTGGTACCCAAAGCACATCTCGGCCCCAGCAGAGCATCGGGGTCACACAGACATCGAGTTCATTTCAGGTTTCATTTGGTTTGGGGTTTTTTTTTTCATTTAGGGTATATATACAAATTGCTTTGTTGATTTTTACTAATTTTAACTTCCCATTGGATGCTCTTTTGTGCTGCCTTCCCCCCTGCCCCCTCACCCCCGTCCTCTCTCCCTGTTAGTGGATGGTGTTTTTTCTCTCTCATGTGGGGATGTTCGTGCTACAAAAAAATAAAAATAAAGAAAAAAAAAGAAAAAACTTAAAAAAACAAACTTAAAAAAAATCAAGAATGAAAATTATTTAAACATTTCGAAAAACACACACAAAACCACAAAAAATCGTTAAAAAAAATAAAAAAAAATAGAAAAACGAATGTAGTGTTTACATTGAAGCCACCGTTTTCATGACCAACCCTTCATCATTTCTACTTTGATTAGTAACCAGACGTCTTCACGGCTCCACTTTTACAAGTTACCTTTGCTGAAGAAGAGCAGGCTCAGCTCTTCCGAAGAGAACAGATCCATAAACAGGAAACTAAAAATAAAAGAATATTATATATATATATATATATATATAAAAAGCACCAGGTCTTTCTAAGCCTTTCTATTACCAATCAGTGAGGTTTCTGTGATATATTACACACTGCCAATCTCTTTCTCTGACTAATGGAAAACTTCATGTGTAGCTCAATAAAGAGAATGTTTGTCTGTACCCCGGGCTCTCCCCCCGTGCCTCCACCTGCTTCTTCTCCTTCCCAAGGAAGGAGGAAAAAGAAGGACTAAACCTTGCAGTTTTGGGTGTTTGCAGCTGGTAGCACAGGCAGAAGGGGCTGGGCTGAGCTGGGTGGAAGGGGAAGCCTTGAAGCTCTTACAAGTGGCTCACGTTGCTTCAGAGCAGCACCAGGAGCAAGAAAATGCTTTGATTTCTTTGGGAGTGCAGAGGTAGCCACCAGGGCAAGGCCTCCGGTTTGTGGCAACATCAGAACCCCCCCACCCCCAGCACATGAGGTTTTTGCCATAGGATATAGAGGGAGGCTGTCCAAGGAAGTGGAGACTTTCAGTCCCTGCTGCAGGAGCAATTTGGGGATGGTTTGGGTTGTGTTTCCTTCTGCATGCCCCTCCATCATGGGTTCCGCAGCTCTTGCGCACACATCAGGCCCATGACTCAAGATGAGCTGCCCCATGGCCCAGCCTGGGACCTGCCATCCCCTCCAGCACTTCCCAGCGCCATGGTGAAGATCCACAGGGAAGGTTACCCAGGAGCCCCCAGCCCAGCTTTAAGCTGGATCCTCCCCCAGACATCAGCCCCTGCCCACAGAAGGGGAGGCTGGTTGGAAAAGGTGCTCCATTGTGCAGCAGCACCTCCTGCCCAGCAGGGCTTCTCCAAGGTTCCTGCTGTTCACAGCAATCCAGAGGCAGCTCATGTTGGCACCAGGAAAGTCAGTCAGGCCCTTCTTTGGATGACCTCCCCTTCCAGGGAAGCAGAACCAGCCAGGAGGCCACCACTGGTCCATGGGCTGCTCTGCACAAAACAGCCTCTTACCCCTTGGGTCAGTCGTTTTGTGCATTGCCACAGGCAAGGATCCGTCCAGTGACGGCCAGTGGGGAGCAAGGGAAGAGCTGCCAGGAAAGGGTCAGGAATCCAGCAAGAGGAGAAGAGATGTCTGGAAAGAATCACAGAATCCTAGCCTGGTTTGGGTTGGAAGGGACCTCAAAGCTCATCCAGTTCCAACCCCTGCCATGGGCAGGGACGCCTTCCACTAGAGCAGGTTGCTTCTAGCCCGTGTCCAAGCTGGCCTTGAACACTGCCAGGGATGGGGCAGCCACAGCTTCTCTGGGCAACCTGTGCCAGGGCCTCAGCACCCTCACAGGGAAGAGCTTCTGCCTAAGAGCTCATCTCAGTGTCCCCTCTGTCAGGTTAAAGCCATTCCCCTTGTCCTGTCCCTACAGCCCCTTGTCCAAAGCCCCTCTCCAGGTTTCTTGCTGGCTCCTTTAGGTATTGGGAGGCTGCTGCCAACAGTTCAAAGCCCCACTTCACTGTCACAGCTCCTGAAGATGCTGTTTCTCTTCCATTTCTATGTTCACAACTCGACCGAATTCCAGCTCAGTAATCCCAGGCTTGGGGAAATGCTCCCGCTCCAGCCTTGGACAGCTATGGTCTCTTCCATGCCATAGAAAGGGGGAAGCAAAGTGGAGCAAAGTGCAGGCGCTGTGCTTACAGCCCGAACACACAGCAGGAACAGGACACATCACACTCCAGAAATTCCCAAACACTTTCCAACACTGACCAAGATTTTATTTGTGTGGGGTTTTTTGGTTGTTTTGTGGGTGTTTTTTTATTAACAATAAAGCCAAAACAGCAGTGCTCTGAGCAAAACCAAGGATCTCCAAAAACCTAACAGCATCACAAGGTAAGGCCTCACAGAGATTTTTATTGAAATAAATTACTGCCACCTAAACACCGCTGCAACTCCTTGCATTGAATTCACCTGCAGATGTTCTACAAAACCAACAGTAAAAAATGTTACCAACACTTCTAGGTAATACTGGGCTCCATCTAAAGGATGGTGATACCAGAACTCACGCTTCAGAAGCTGAAAACTCATCTTTGCAAAGCTAGCATCAGCGGCTCCATGCGGACCTCAGGGCAGAGTCCTTAAGGACAAGCAGACGCTGGCAGTTGGGCTGCACCCAGCCCCAGTCCCTCCACACGTTTGGAGCAAACTCACAGAGCTGTGGGGTTAAAACAGAAATTAAAAACCAGAGCTGTCTCCACAGTCCCATCCGTGTGGTGCAGAGCAGGCACCCTGTTCTACTCCCTTGGATGGTAACACTGAACCACAGGGCTCTAACCTCACCTCACACCCTCTCCTCTTCACTCCATGCCCCTCAGTGTCTGGGTAGTTTTGGCCATGGGCAAAGAGTAACAGCTCAGCCCTGGGCAGTGACAGAGCCAGACGCAGAGGAGCTCAGCAACAGTCAGCAACTTAATGCTGGTGAATCGCTGCTCTGCTGCACCACTCATGAATTCAGTTTTCCCCATGTTCTGTAGCTCAGAACCCGGCCTCAAAACTGACTTTCCTGCAACGTGGACTACATAACACCTCTCTCTGGAGAGCAGGCACCCCATCACCCAACACAGGGGTTGCTCCAGGTTTCTAAAGCTTTCTTCCCTCTTGGAGTAACTCTTCCTGATCCCAGCCTGTGTCCACAGCTGCTAATCCAGAACACTCCTTCCCCAGTCTCTGCGGTGCAGCCAGCTCAATGCCTTGTGCCAGCTGCAGAAATCCCACCCGTGGTTTAGAAACTGACTTTTGTTCATGGAGGGGATCAACGTCACATAGAAAGTATTACAAAAAAGAGGTGAACGAGTCGGCTGTCCAAACACCATCAGACCACATGCTCCTCACGGCGGAGAGGCGGCTCCACCAGCTGAACTCTGGAGACACGTCCCGTCAGTACAGAAAGCGCAGGGAGGTGGGGAGGTGTGGGTAACTCTTTATTCAACATGGCTGACGAGGCGCAAGGAGGAGGGTGGCGGCGCTACGAGTTGTGCTGCATCTGAAGCCTCCGCTCAGCGGCGGCAGCCAGCGTCCTGCGGCGCAGGGTCACGGCGTCGGCTGAGGCTCCTTCGGGACTGGGCTTCCCTGTGGTCAACTCCTCCTCCAAGGTCTTGTTGAAGTAACGCCTGCAAGAGAAGAAAGGGAAAAGATGCGTGAGCACAGCCCACCTCGTTTTGGCTCTGGACAATACTTTGCTGGTACATCCACAAAGGGAGGGTTGCAGGACACGCTGAAAGCAGGAAAATACCTGGATAAAAGCACACACCCCACGTACTCAGAAATAAAAAAGCCCATTTAACCTATGGCAGACTTTGCAGAGTTGGCAAAAGCTCTTAGTTTTTGTGCAAGACTCTCCTGCCTGTGGAAAGGAGCCAGTTCTAAAGGTCAGTGCAGTGGGCTGCATCCAGAGGAATGTGGCCAGCAGGTCAAGGGAGGTGAGTCTGCCTTTCTACTCTGCAGATTAATAATTACAATAATTATATTACTAGTACTAATATATACTAATAATAATAGACTCCCACCTGGAGTCTACGTCCAGACCTGAAGTCCTCAGTACAGGAAAGAGATGGACCTGTTGGAGAGGGTCCAGAGGAGAGACACAAAAAACAATCTGAGGGCTGAAGCACCTCTCCTATGAGGAAAGGCTCCTATGAGGTTGGGGTTGTTCGGCCTGGAGAAGGCTCTGGGAGACCCAATTGTGGCCTTACAGTTCTTAAAAGGGGCCTACAGGAAAGATGGGGAGAGACCTTTTAGTAGAGCCTGTTGTGACAGAATGAGGGGTGGTGGTTTTAAACTGAAAGAGGGAGATTCAGGCTGGACACGAGGAGGAAATTCAGTACAATGAGGGTTATGAAACACTGCTCCAGGTTGCCCAGAGAGGTGGTGGATGCATCATTCCTGGAATCATTCAAGGCCAGGCTGGATGTGGTTCTGGGCAACCTGATCTGGTTGAAGGTGTCCCTGCTCACTGCAGAGAGTTGGACTAGATGAGCTTTGAAGATCCCTCCCAGTCCAAACTATTCTATAACTACCACAAGAAGTCACTTCCTGATGACAATAAGGAAGCCTTTGAAAGAAAGGTGCACTAGGGCTGCGAAGC